TCAGCTGGCCACGCCCCCTGGCCATTAATCATGTGACCCTGGGACACTGAACATCGTAAGTATGAATCAGTTATCAAGCATCCGAATGTAAATCACATGACCCTGGGGGTGCTGCAACAATCATAAGTGTGAAAAATGATCATAATTTGCTTTTTCAGTGCTGTTTTAACTTCAAACAGTCAGTAAGCAAATTGTTGTAAGTCGAGGACTACCTATACTTTCCCATTTTTTCCTCTTTTTTTGGTTCACGTTTTTGATACCCCCCAACATGAGAAACTGTATTAAAGGGTCGCGGCATTAGGAAGATTGAGAACCACTGGTCTAAGGAGTCATAACTTGATCATTGCTGCTGTGGGTAGGTTTTGTGTAGAAACATTTTGCTAACATTATGAGAAAGATATGTATTATGCTGTTTGAAATACTTTACAGCAGTGTTTCTCAACTTTGACAGTTTTAAGGCATGTGGACTTCAACTCCCAGAATTCCACAGCCAGCATTGTTGGCTGTGGAATTCTGGGAGTTGAAGTCCACATGCCTTAAAATTGCCAAGGTTGAGAAACACTGCTTTACAGAGTAACAATGGTTACTCAATTCCATAAAGAAAAAGATGAATGAATACTTGGGGGATGCTTAATAACTTTCTTTTTAAGAATTTTGATTACAATGGTAAAATTTAATACAAACTAAACTTTAAAAAATAAAAGAGAATAGGAAGAAGAAAAAAGAAGAAACAAGTATGAATACAGTAAAGTAAGTAAATAAGTAAATAAAGAATATACTAAAGAATAAACTCTGACCTTCATCACAAAAAGTATAAACACATTTAGTGACTCTTCACTCCCTCTAGGGTTACAAACATTTATTACTTCATCCCATATACCATTTATTATCTATAAGCAAAACCATGAAACATTTTTTTCAGTCCTGGTGTCAGCAGAAAGTCTATAAAGGGTTGGCAGAAATAATAACATATCTTGTTTTAACATTAACCAAAAAAAACAGGGATCCCCAACCCCCAGGCTGCGGCCCTCTACCCAGCCTTCAGCCATTTGAACCGGGCCGCCACAGAAGTGGTGGCAAGAGGGAAACCATATCCTCTCCCTCTTCCTGCTGGTCTGCAAAGCCAGAAAAGTTGGGAAACTCTGAAATAAACGATCTTTATATTCCTCTGTCTCACTTCCAACAGACTCAATCTTTAGCTCATTTAAATGTTATGGGATTTGATTTCTCTTCATTTCTTCTTTGCCCCATTGCACAGAGTTCTTCAAGGTTTTCACAAGTCTCTTATAGATCCAATAGGACAAAATTATTGAGGTCACTGTTTTGGTTTGTCATTTGCATTTCTCTTTTAATTTTTAAAACCTCAGCTAGTTTCTTTTGTAAATCCAGTGAAACATCCTTTTTCTAATTCATTCTCTTGGCTTGTGAATTGTAAATCTACTTTGATATCTCTATACAGTATTGTCAAATAAAAATTCTTCTACATCTGTCATTTCTTTCATAACATCTTTATGAGCCGTGGTGACACAGTGGTTAAAATGCAGTACAGCAGGCTACTTCTGCTGGCTGCCGGCTGCCTGCAGTTTGGCAATTTGATTCACACCGGTTCAAGGTTGACTCAGCCTTCCATCCTTTCAAGGTCGGTAAAATGAGGACCCAGATTGTTGGGGGCAACATGCTGACTCTGTAAACCACTTAGAGAGGACTGTAAAGCACTGCGAATGGGTATATAAGTCTACATGCTATCGCTATCTTTTGGACGTAGTCTATTCATGGAAGCAGACATCATTATTGATGTTATTGATGTTGCAGCTACTATTTTCTTATTCCATTCTTCAAAAGTCTCCTTCAATATTTTCATTGTTACACTGTTTTGCAATATTTTACAGACTTGAGTTCTTTCCTCTTCCTAAAAGCCTTTGTCCCCTCTAGTGTCCGTGTCATGAAATTGCTTATCTTTGTTATATCTTGTAAAAACCAGAGCAGAATCTATTTTCCATCAAAAGGTGTTCTTTATAATCACAGCTAGTCCTTGACTTAATACAGTTCATTTAGTGACTGTTCAAAGTTACAACGGTACTGAAAAAAGGGACTTATGACCATTTCTCACACTTACAACAATTGTAGCATCCCCATGGTCATGTGATCAAAATTTGTATGCTTGGCAACTGATTCTTATGTATTATGGTTGCAGTGTCCTGGGGCCATGTGGTCACCTTTTATGACAAGCAAAGTCAATGGGGAATCCAGATTCATTTAACAACTAACAATATGTTACTAACAATAACTGCAGTGATTTACTTAACGTGGCAAGAAAGGTCCTAACATGGGGCAAAACTCATTAAACAAATATCTCGCTTAAAATTCATTTAACAAGCATCTTGCTTAGCAAGAGCTATTTTGAACTCAGTTGTGATTGTAAGTTGAGAACTATACAATTTTTTATAATAAGTTTCAATATTCCAATTTTACTTGGACTTCTAGTCTGTTTATAACTTTCTAAGATCAGAATCTTATTTAGTTTTTTGCTGTTTATTCTGGATTCTTTAAATTCTTAAGCTTATGATTAAAAGTTTGTTTCCTTTAGGATTAAAGCCAAGTTTACTTGGTGTTTTCAAATTTTTAAAAGAAAAGGTTAGAGCAGTGGTTCTCAACCTTTTTAATGCCGCGACCCCCAACTTGTCGTAAGTCAAGGACTACTCAACCGGTCGTAAGTCGAGGACTACTCAACTGGTGCAGCACCATTTGCAGAATGGGACTTTTGGCGGGCTCAGCAGGGCAGAGACAGCCTGGACAATTCCTATTGGCTTTTGAAAGCCAATAGAATTAGACTCTATTCAAGAGAGTCTATTCTATTGGCTTTCAAAAGCCAATAGAATAAAAGGAAGTAGCACAGCTAAGGAAAAGGGGGGGAAAATGGCGGACTGCGTTGTTTGGCGACCCCCCTGAAATGGTCGTTCGACCCCAAATGGGGTCCCGACCCACAGGTTGAGAACCACTGGGTTAGAGGTACTTAATCAAGTGATAAGAAAGTAAGGTTTGCAAACTTACTGGCTTTTAATAGTCTCCAGGGTTGCAAGCAAAATGGCGAATATCTCCCAGCACCGAAACATGTGGAAAATCACTGTCCTGCAAGGACACCTGTCCAGGATATGCGGGCATGTGGATAATCTCCCATCCTCTCCTTATCCAGAGAGGTTCCAAGGAACTATTCTGCTTACTGGTTTCTTGGTCTTTGCTGTGTTTGTTGGCTCTGCTTTCAAAGAACCATCTTCAGTTCAACGTACTTCCCTTGGAAGTTTTCTGGATGCTTAATAACTTTGTAAAATACTAGAGGCAGGCTGCTTTTGGCTTTCCAGTTATTTTCAATAACTCTTCCCATAATATGTGACTATGCTAATTAAGTTAATCCAATTTATCTACAGTAGCACCCCATTGCTTATCCTGCCTTGAAGCAATTCTATATCACTCAAACCACAAAGCAGAAAATGAGTGTCAAATTTGATAAGCCATCCTATACAGTAGGGATCCCCAATCTTTTTGGTTCTGTGGACTGGTGACAGCTGCTTCAGCGCTTTTTGCAGTGGGCGGGGGGGGCGAATGGTTTTGTTCATGCAATCTAAATCTCGCACCTTAACAAATGAAGCTTCACACACTTGTCTGCCGTTAACAGGTCACGGCCCAGGGGTTGGGGACCCCCACTGTATATTGACACAATTGCTATTTTAGAATGCATGTGATGGGAAATAACTTGTCAAATTCAATTTGGGCGTCTAACCAGTTCTGGCTTTTAAAGTACAGATATAAAGAGTTTTTAACCTTTTTATTACTTAATTGAAATTATTTAGAACTTTTGCTATCCTATTTCATTATATTGAATCAAAACCATGTGGTTTTGACTTTTTCCTTTTAGGTTGGTGGTTTCCCAGAAGTTGTTGTTGTTGTTGTTGTTATAGTTTGAAGGGACCTTAGAGGTCATCTAGTCTAACCCCCTGCTCAGGCAGAAAACCCTATACCAGTGATGGCGAACCTTTTAGAGACCGAGTGCCCAAAAACTGGCCCTGCCCTGCTCCCATTCTGCCCCCCCCCCATCCACCACCCTGCCTGCCAGCAGGGCCACTCACCGCCTCCAGGGCCCGCCACAGATTGCCCAGGCAGCCCAGCAGCACTATGGCAGTCACGCCCTCTGCCCACGTCCTGCAGCATCAACTTTGCACGATGCAGTGTGAGGGCAGAGTCTTGTCTACGCTGCTTGGCTGCCATGTCCTTGGTTGCGCTCCGCATGAGCCACGCTCAGGGGCGACTCTCCTTCAGGGGGGCTGCTGGAGAGGAGGGGGTCACGGGGGAGGCGAGGCTGGGGTAACGGCACGTGTGCCCACAGAGAAGCCTCCAAGTGCCGCCTTTGGCACTCGTGCCATAGGTTCGCCACCACTGCCCTATACCATTTCGGACAAATGGCTGTCCAGTCTCTTCTTAAAAACTTCCTGCCTCGCTCTGTCTGGATGAAATTGAACAGAATTAGGTATGATATAGAAGAAGTGCCTCTGCCCTGTATGCATGAGGGTGGAAATATTCCCCTTGTTGAGATTTTGGTCCTGATATGCAAACAATTAAACATATTGTGCAAGATTGCCTGCGACTTGCGTTTTCTGGTTCTCTAGAAGATCTTCACAAAGTAACGCCAGAGGCAGTCACCTGGATAACTAAATTGGACCTCCAGTTATGAGGCCACTGCCATACTCCCATAGAAGTTTTGTATATAATTATGTGGATTGTATGTATATGCTTACTTCTCTTCTGCCAGGTTCTTATCATATGCTAAATAATAAATATGATTATATTGAATACTTTATTTGGCCAAGTGTGATTAGACACACGTCTATATTGGTATAAAGGTCTGATCTACATTTTGTTTCTTAAACTAATGCTTTAGGTAAGCATTAAAATATGCTGCATTTTTCAGAAGAATGTATCTGAGCTTTTCCCTTTCTTTGTTTTAGATGACCAGCTACTCAGATTTCCACAACAGATTTTGAAGAAACTGCCATCCGATCAACAGATTAGTAAACTTGCTCAGAGACTTGGACCTGAATGGGAGTGCATTGTATTATCTCTTGGCTTGAGCCAAAAAGACATTTACTGTTGTAAAGTCAACCACCCATACAATATCCAATCACAGATTGTAAGTGCCTTCATTTTATGGAGGCAGCGTTTAGGGAATAAAGCTACTACGGAGAGTCTGTGCACTGGTTTGAAATTTGGAGAAGTAGATTCTTCAGTAATCCAGCAACTGCTTCAATGAGCTTCTAAACTGGATTGAATCGAACCAAAGGCCCATTCCATATTCTGTCTCCACAGTGCTCACTCAGAAATTATGGAAAGTCTACATCTTGGCATGACTTTAGCAACTACCCAGTATTCTCACTCACATTGCCTACCAATTGGCTTTAACATGCGAATGTTGATTGTTGCAGCAGGTATATTGCCATCATGATCAGTGTTGGTAACCTTTTCCTCTATGGAGTCTCCAAATGCCATGCCTTCATATGGCAAAGCCACGTTTAAGATCAGATACTGTGGAGGAGGTTTTGGTATTGCATGAGATCCTATCGTGTGGATGAGAAATTAGTGTTGACAACTGTACCAAAGCTGTGCAAGCCTTCCACAATACCAAAGCACTCTCCTCTTGACATTAATTACCTTTATTAATAGCAATAAGTTGATCCAGTAGCAAATCATAAGGAAAGGGCTGTCATCACTGAAAGCTACCAAGGATAATAGTCTCACTAGTAGAGATACAAGGAAACAGAGCAGGTACTGCTTTTTTAATGTTAGTATCTAGGAATGTTACAATGTCCTGTTTATTTTTAAAGCTTGCATATTGTGTATTATTACAACCATAAAAAAGAACAGTCCAAAAAAGCTGCATTTTGTTATATGAACTCTGATTACTTATTGTGTAAGTTAACTTAAGTCATGGATTGGATCTGATCTTAATTCTTGATGGTGTGCACTGGAGTGGTCATATTCTATATTTTAGTATAAAAAGATTAATAATACTGATGTATGCTTTTGCCTGCAGCTTCATCTTAGACAAAGCGTTCTCTGCATTTCCTGAAGTTAATGGATCTAAGTTTGCCTATCTTTGCATGTGTCAAAAAATCTCCCCAAATTTCTAATTTAAAAGCAAGTAGTGATGAAAAGCATACTTTTTCCAACCTATTTGTGTCATTTTCCTCTGGATATGTTCATTTGTGATTCAATAATATTGCCAAGTGTTTTCTACTTACTGGATTGAATTTTGCAGATATTCCTAAAAGCCAGTGTTCTTATTTGATTGCTGTCAGCTTTCATTCCTCTTTAAATCACTTACCACCCAAGGATTCTCTAATCAAGTAGATTTTTTTCTCTAGGAAGTTGATCCCTTGTCCTCTGCCTTCTTAAAGATTCTTATCAGAATTTGTATACATTTTAATTGTCCACTACTACCCTGACTCTCACCATCCCACTCTTACCTGTTTCTAAGATTTGTCATATTTTGGTAGATTGTAAAATGTCTCATTTCATTCTCCCTTTGATTGTATGGCCTAATAATTTAGAAAAGATGTTTATTTATTTAGAATACAGTGGGATGTGAAACCCAGTTCCCTTCCAATGCCTCAAAACTCTGTTTTGAATCTGTTTCTCCAGAAAGCTAGCATTATCACCAAGGAAAGAGTTGCAATAGTCAGGCCAAAAAAGACAAAAGGAAACTTTAAAATGCTCTGGTGCCATACTCCTCTTGCATAGTAAGAAAAGGAAATTAGAATTAAGAGTTCAGTAAGTTTGCCTTCAAATTAGAGTAATCTTTATGCTAATCTTATTTGCTTTAATGTTATTTTGAGGTTTGACAAACTTCATTTGAACAGTGGTATGATATTTTCTGATTTTGATTACCTAACCTGGCCTTGTAGTGATTTCTGGGGGGGGAACCCACTTATTTAATCTTTTAAATTAGTAAATGAAACTCTTAACAATCAGTTCTGCCACATTCAAGGATAAGTTTGAATCATTCAGTCATTTTAAGTACTTTTTTCCTTTGTACAAAACTATTTTAATCTGTGTTTAAAATTTTGCTTGTACATTTTCCATTATGGATCTCCCCCAGACGAACTTTCTCCTATTGCTTCCTGTCCTCCCTTCAGATGCCATGGAGAATAAATTGATGTCCTCTTCCCTGCAGCAGCTCTTCAAGTATTGGAATATTGCTGTCGTGCACATCATCTACCTACCTGATGCAGGTGGCAGCTTGCTTTATTAAGCACCGGAGTTAATCTTCATGCCTTGAGTGACCATTTTAGAACTATATATCCTTGGCATCATCTCTAACATTTGTGGCTCATCCCTTCTAAAAAATCCCACCTACTCACCATGATGAGGCAGCAGAGCAGGACTTGTGGAGGCCTTGCAGATGAGAGTTATAGAAATAACAATTGCAGCTTTTCCTTCTCTGCCCATTCTCTGGAGTGAATATGCAATATTTCATCATTCTTTTTACATCATTTTATTGCAAAACAATATGAGTTCTTCACCCATATATGGCTCACTAATAGGTTAATACAAAGTAGTTCCAACGATAAATTATTTAATTCAAAAACAGATCTCCTCATTACACCATTATTTGTTCTTCCTGCCTTCCTCATCTCCCTCTGAAGAAGTGATTCAGGTGCGGATTCCTGTAAATGACAGGCCTTTTCAGGCCCTTTTTGAGGTTAGCAAATCCATATGTGCTCCATACATTCTTAAACTTGTGATTTGCTTCTTACACTGAACTACTATTCCAGAACAAACATAGTATATAGATAGTCTTCAAATTACAACAGTTCATTTAGTGACTGTTCAAAGTTATTATAACAGCACTAAAAGAAAGTGACTTATCACCATTTTTTGCACTTAAAACCTTTGTAGCATCCCTATGGTCATGTGATCAAAATTTAAATGGTTGGCAACTGGTTCATGCTTATGACTGTTGCTGTTTCTCAAGGTCATGTGATCACCTTTTGCAATCTTTTGACAACAAAATCAATGGGGAAGCCAGATTCATTTAACAACCATGTTACCAACTTATCAACTGCAGTGATTCACTTATCAGCTGTGACAAGGTCGTAAAATGGGGCAAAATTCACTTAACAAATGTCTCACTTAACAATAGAAATTTTAGGCTTAATCGTGATCATAAGTTGAGAACTACCTGTAATGGTAGCTTTTCTCTGCCCTCTCTGTAGCTGTACAGTAGGCAGCTCTTCACTCTATGAACACCTCTTCATTCTGAGTCCAAAGTTCCCACCCCCTTCTAAAGCAAAGTACTGCAGCATATTACTTCTACTCTCCATCATAGATTTTTAACTGCCAGGCATGTGACTTTGCCTCAATCCCAAAAGAGGGGCCTATTCCTCTTTAGTTGCTTCATTGATTCTTAATTTTATTTTTTTCACTGCAGGAAGCAGACTGGATAAAATTGGGAGAGGATGTTAAGGCAGCTGCCATTTTTAGTTCTCCCCTTTGTTCCCCAGGAAGGAGTGATGGAAAGCTGAAGGAAGGGAAGGTGAAGGTACTCATCGAGCACATTACAAAAAAATGCTTTGGAAAATCTGGAGTACAGGATACAAATTTATTTATTTATTTGATTTCTATGGCAGCCCATCTCAACCAGTGATTCTGGGTGGCATGCATCTTAAATATAAAAATAATTTAAAGCAAAACAGTAGAAAATATATATGGCACCAAATAACACTATTACTATAGATATTAAATGGGACTCGGGCACACAACTGAGTCTTCACAGCCTTGCAAAAGGCCAAAAGAGTTGGGGTCCTCCTGATACCTGGAAGGTGAATATTTCAGAGGGCAAGGACTAGGGCAGAGAAGGCACATCTTCTGGCTTCTGCCAATTGATATTCCTTGGCTGACAGGACTTGCAACCTGCCTGATTAAATTGAAAGGTAAAAAAACTGGGAGAAGATGGTCCCTTAGGTAACCCAGCCTCAAGATATGAAGGGCTTTAAAGATGATAACCAGCACCTTGAATCACATGTGTTGAATACCCAATATCCTTTACTACCTGTGCACCAGTTGAAACTTCTGAATGCTTTTCAGGGACAAACCCCATGCAGAACACTTTGTAGTAGTCTGGATAAGAGGTCACAAAGACATGAGTGACTACGAGCAAAAAGATCTTTAAAGGACTGAGCTCCTTCAAAACATTCAAGTACAACAACAGAGGTAGAGGGCTATTCAAATTTTTTTGAACTGTGGACTGGGCAGCATACAAAACAAGGAAAAACATTTTAGAATCTGCACGATAATTATCTGTAAAATAATATATACTTGCAGATTAAATTATGGGACATTAAGCTTTTTATAAAAGTATTGGATTGTAATAAACATTATAATGTACTATGCAGGCTCAAAATACATTGAATTGATAGACTGGAATGATACCATTGTATAAATGTGTCAATTTATGGTGTTTTTTCTTCGAAGTGGATTTTAATGCAATTCATTTAAAGAAATAATTTCAGTTGGCAAGTTACTGAGCAAATATTGACTACATCATCTGTATCTATAATGGCGATGACTAGATTCCATTAAACATGGCATGTTTATCATAATGACATTTGCCAAAGTACTTGCAGTTTATAAAGCATGCTATGGTATGTTCCATTTCAATGTTAACTTGCTGATTATTTATAAGAACACATTTTATTTGGACTGATTGCTTAGCTAATGCCTATAGATTTTTCTAGTGTTCGTTTTACATTCTCCCTAATGTAGAATTCTTAGCAATCATTCATAATCAAAAGAATCAACCAAAACCAACATCTTATTTAGGATTCTATACAACTCTATCACTATGGGGATCCTTATGGTGTGCAAGAAAACACAAAGTATCCATGCCAGTGTACTTTTTCCTAGGATCCACATGAAGCCTTTTCAAAATCTTGCACTGAATGATAAGAATTAAATGTAACTTTTCCATATAATGTTCCAGAATGATTCAAAATATAATGCTATGTGACCTTACATTATTGGGGAAATGAAAGAAGTTCAGGTTAGACAGTGGACCACTTCCTCTGGGTGCTACCAAAGCTTGTGGTTTCTGTGTTGTGCAGATGGGAAGATCATGCAAATGTTATTGCTGCCATGCAAAGTGTAGATCAAGTATACAGGAGCAGAAAAAAAATAAGAGAAGACTTCTCTAAAATTAGCATTAGTTTTTAATTTCCTCATTGCTGTTTTGTTGAAATGTCACTGCACATAATGGGGAAGAACTGAGCTGGTAAAGTCAAGCATCTGTTCTCCCTTGTTTATATTCTTAGAACAGCAGGGCATGGTGTGAATATTTTGGTGCACTATGTGCGTCAGTGTTTCTTGGGGCGCTGCATGTACTGAAGATTGAAATCTGAGACAGCAGCTGCAAAAACCAAAGGAAGATGCTGATAAACCCTTGATAGGGCAATTTCTGAACTAATTTGTTATTTTAATATTGGCAGTTAAATATCAACTGATGCTGAGATATAAGATATGGCAATACAGAAGAAATTCCAGTATATTTAGAAGGCACCAGGTTGGAGAAGAAGATTGCTTTACAGAATTATTTTTAGCTCAGCATGGTTTAAAATTCAATGTTAATAAAGAGGCAGTTAAATGAACGAATAATTTTAAATTAGTATTCTATGTGACTGCTTAGAATAATGAAAGCATCGCTGCTGTTTTTAACATTAACTGTTAAATGGCATATTGATACCATTCTGAATAACTTGATTTTTGTTTTGTCCATTGGTCAAAAGCAGTTTTTGTAATGTCTATTTCTGAGACTGGTAGTGTCAACAGCATTCATTTATGCTGGAAATGTGTGTTTTATTCTTTATTAGACTGTCAGTTTCAAGTGTAAATTTTTTTTAAAGAGTTTATTGAATAACAAAAAAGAAAAAAAGAAAATAATTAAAAACATTGAACGTGGTAAATCAGCATTTGACAAACATCTCAGTTCATATTGACATTAATTACAGATAAAATTCTTTGCAATAACATCCTTCTAATTTCAGTCTTAACTTATCTCATTACAATAACTTCCCTGTTTTTGTTTTTTCCCCACCATCTATAGAATTTATTCCGTATTTGGTAAAAAACTGTTTCATCCTGATTTTTTAATCTTTTAGTTAACCTGTCTAATTCTGCGCAATACATAATTTTCTGAATTAAAATTTCCCCACTAGGTACAGCCATAGCTTTCCAGTTTTGAGCAAATAATATCCTTGCCGCTGTAACCACATGAATAAATAAATACGTATCCTCTTTACTAACATTTTTTTCAAGGATTCCTAACAACAATGTCTCAGGTTTGTACTGGATGTTTAACTTAATCATTTCTGTCACCCATTCCCAAACCATATGCCAGTACACCTGTGCTTCCTTACATGTCCACCAAATAAGTTTCAAGAGTAAATTTTGATGTAAAAGGTGGTAATGATGCCTTTCCCAGGAAATGCACAACTATAATTTTATCAGTAAGAAAAAAGAGCGAATGGGACAACAGAATTCTTGTAGAAAACAAAAGAGACTTTTACAAATTCCAAAGGGTTTAGCAGAGAGATTTATTGCGCAAGGTTCAGAAGCAGTGAAGACAAGCAATTCTGAACACTGAGGGAGGGTTCAAACTACAGTTTTATACATTTCTTTTCTCAGGAACAAAGGGACACACATTAGTGATACACATTGTAGTTCTTTAGGTTAGTTTCTCACAGGCAGACAATGGTCGGTTATGCTACATACATTGTTTCCAAGTGCAATGCGCATTTGGTTAGTCACAGATTGCTAACACAGCTTTATTCCAGTAATTATGCAGACACATCATTGTTTTAATGATTTTTCATCATCATTATTATTATTTTACATTATTCTATATTATTCTACCTTATTCCCCCCTTTGAAAGTTTTCTTGCTTAAACTTCCATCATTCTACCTCTGATCAGGATCTTTAGTGGGCACCATTTTGTATTCCCATAAAGCTAACATTGTTTCATGTTTTGCAGTTAATTGGGCTGTACATTCTGAGATTCTTCGAATCATTATTATAACACAAGGGAGTAAGCAGGGAATCAAAATACATCCTAGAATTAGCAATACTGCTATAATTATGATGGTTTGTAGGCCTGGTAACTTTGGCCACCATCCTGCAAATATGTCTTCCAGATTAAATCCTTTCCAGGTTTGCACCGGAACATGAGCTAGTTTGACCATTCTGTCTGTTATGTCCTTCAATACTTTTCCACTTTCATCTACTTCGATACAACAGCTTGTTAGGTTGAATTTCCCACATACCCCTCCTTTGGCCAACAGATAGTCC